CGGAATTCATTGCCTCATGCTTGGGAGCAATGGATATTATGTGGTTCAGAAAATTGTTCCTAGATCTCAACATACTGGAGAAAACCAATTTCAAACTTTATGTGGACAACAAAAGCGCAATATGCTTAATAAAAAATCCAGTTTTCCACAAAAGGACTAAACACATTGACATAAAGTATCATTTTGTTCGCCTGAAGTACGAAGAGATGATGTTTGAATTGGAGTATGTCAACACCAAGGACCAACAAGCTGATATACTCACAAAAGCTTTACCTTATCCGGCCTTCGAATGTCATCGATTAAAGATATGTGCTAAAGTGTAAAGTGTAAAAATCAAACATATGAACATTATATTATTTATTTTTCTAAATCTTTGATCTAATGTAATATTTATTGGCACGACAATTAGCTTTATATTGTTTTTGATATTAAAACGTGTCATATTTTTTTTTAAAAGGAAGTAACTACTTCAAAATGTATAATTTTTGTTTAAATTTTTGTAATTGATATAATGTAACAGAACAGGAGGAGTATTGATAATAATGTATATTCTGACACATTATATCTATATTTCATATTTTGGCGCTGCTATGCCAACTTAATAATAGTAAACTATCTCTACAATTATGTTGTCACTCTTAGTCGCAATTCTCGCCGCAATACTCACTTGCCTCTGCGCTCATGTATAGCTCGCACACGACTTACAATAAATCTATTATTTTGTACACTAATCTTTATTTTGCAATCCTGCCCAATTAACAATTCTTCATATACGCTTTGCAAGCCATAAACAATCATGGACAGACAAATTGTCGGTTTAACGTCAAAAATTTACATAACAAATATTATTTTATTTGTCAAGTTAAATTTATAAATTTACTGATTATTTTTAAATATTAATATGACATTATCTAATTTTCATATTAACAAGCACATTAAGATACAATTTATTATCTTTCATGCATCGCGATCTCTGGTTTGAATGTTCAACTCTGTGTAAAATTTTCCATCAAATTATTTTGTATTCGTAATTAATGTATTTATACAGTATTACGAAACTCCTGTTCACTTAGGTAGAGAACCAGGATATTTTTCAATATTGTTTTTACAGACAAAAATGTAATGTCGAAAATTGTAGAGAAGGTGCTACTACACAAACTCAAAGTATAGGGGTATGAATGTTGAAGTGAATTGCACCAATACAAGTGCAAATCAAAGTGAGACAGTGCAATAAGATGACGGTAGCTGCTCATCTATCTTGACTACTGACTTTTATCGTCACTCAATACATCGTATTCTTATATTTTTTGCACCGAAATTGCTCTTGTAAGTATACTTTAAGTTTACCCTTCGATGAAGAAAGTTTTTCCTAGCGAAGAGATTGGAAAACTTTGAGAAAAAATTAAAGTCAAAAACATTCATCTAAACGACGCTCGAAGCATAATATTGGCGCATTTTGAAAATTGTAAGCCACTTCGCCAGATCGATAACTTTATAATGATGATAACAAGGAACAGCATTTGGTGCAACTAAAAGTAAAAAAAGTCATCAGTTTTTCAAGCTCTTGAGTATTCGGTCGGCGAAAATTAACGATTTTACAGCATCAACAGCAGCAAGCATGGGGCTAAAAATGAAAGACGCGCGCGCGTGGCCGGGTGTGGCGCGCATTTGCTGACTCCAGTGCGCGTGAATAACAGCGACTACGTGAGCGGCTTACACACTTTTGGAGCTGCCGCTGCTGCTGCTGCTGCTGTTGCTGCAGCGCGTATGATGGAAAAAGAAGATTGATGCACCATCACACCGATGATGCTGCTGCTTCTACCGCTTGTGCTCTTTATTGCGACTAGGCTACCTCCAAATTGCTTGCAGCATTTGAACATAGCAACGTCTGAGAAGAAGCTTCATATGAAAATATGGCTCTTTCGTGTCTGGCTGTATTTTGGGACGTTCAATCGGACCTCCCTTGCTCAGACTGTATAGAAAGATGATAAAATTTATTATATTTATCTATTGATTATCATTAACCAATGAAATTTTTCGCTCGCAAACGTTCGCAATTGTAATGGTTTAGTAAAAACATTTAAAGAAGCAAGGAATTAAAAAAAACGCTGCCAACGTATTGACAAGTAGCTTCCTCATACTTTTTTTTTAACTTGAAAATAATTTGGAAATATTAATATCATCTTTTCTAATTTGTTCACAAAACAGTTTCAATTATAAATTATTTCTCAACCAAACGATACGAAAAAGAAAAAAAAAATTTTTTAAATCGAAAAAAATTTTTCTTCTTTTATCGCTAAATCAAATTTTCTGCCTTTATCCTTACATCAAAACGAACAAAATAAGCCCTCCCCCGTCACGATACGTGCTACCGTCATCGAGGAATCACTCTACACCGCGCGCACACAGATACATACATACCAACATGTGTCAGAAATTCGATCTAGTATATAAAAATATTAAATATACCCCACGATGATTATATACGAAAGCCGAAATGGAGCCCGTCACAAAGCTTCTTTACGAGGAAGCAAAATATTTTGAAAGGTGTTCAAAAAATTAGAAAGATTTGTTTCATACGATTATCATACTATATATGAAAATCAATGGCCTTTTTCCAGAATGATGCCCCACGTCGTCATGCCGTGTGATGTATTCTTGGGTTACACGTAGGCCGGTATCATGTGATAAGCGCCTCATCGGCGTTGCACCCAAGTCGGCATATTTTTCTTCTTGCTGGGTTTGCTGCCACTCCGTCCACCTGCTCTTATGCAGCCGTGCACGCTACATGTTTGATCAGACTTATTCTTTCATATGGATGTCCAATATGGATCAATTTTTTGGTCTCGGTTATGGAGAGCCTCCGATTTTTCGAAAAGAAAGTTATACGTTCATGTTTGAATAAATACAGAGCGGCTGAGTGTAATTATACAAAGAAAATTTTTACCAAGGATTGATACCTTTTTAGTTTATCTAATAAGAAATTATGTTAAAAATGCTGTGTGTATGCGTTCTTTGGGGTTCTAGAAACATAAAAAAATGCGCGAACACGGAAAATTTTGATAGTATTTTTGTTTATGTGCATTTTTATGCGCCATATACGAAACTAGCCCGATTTTCAGCGCACTCTTTTCTTTCTTATTCCGTTTTTCCATTTTTCAATATTTAAAATAGAAATATAAAATAAAGATTATGTTATAAACTGTAAAAATACGCAATAGGTCGGCTTTTCACCTCAGAGCCTCCTCAAGAAATCAATCAAAAAATGTAGATGTTTCACATCAATTTGACCATTGTATGTTGTTATTATGTTATTATTTATTTTTTTTTTTTTTAATCTTATCACAATATGATGATTGCTATGAAGTAAATTTTAGATTATCTCTCGGCTTGTTTTTTGGTTTAATTAAAAAATTTAAAAGGGACGCATAATTTATGAGATTTACAATTCCAAACATTCTTCGTGTTCTCTCATTTTTATTTTCAAAACTTGACTCGTTATTAATACAGCCGATATATATTATTTTCGATTTATAGGTGTCTAGAATAAAATGTCCAAGTTCAACAGATGCCATTATCAAAACTGATGTAAGAATTTTTATAAAAATCATAAGTTCTGGACAAATATATTGTATTTCTTATTTTCATTCTTCTCTTTAATTAGCACTTAATGAAGACAATTATTTGTCTGTTCAGTTACGTTTCATGAGATGTAAAATTCACTCAAATTATAACCATCAGTGCTTGCTCATAAATAAGAGATCGAAAATGAGTTATTGAGTTGGTCTGAATTGCTTATTGGTAACTACAATGCGTATCAGATCATATTAAATTACTTTTTCTTTTCAGCTTAAAAAAGCTCTTAATTCAAAAATTAACATTCACTAATTTTGTACGTATTTTTTTGATTCAAGGACGATTGCTTTTTTAAAATAAGAAAATAGCTAATAATGTTTTTAAAATCTCCTGCTTATATTTTATCTACTTCTTCGTGGCTCATGAACTTTTTAAAATAGTTGATTTAATAATTATTATAGCTCTACAATAATTATCAAGAAAAAAAAAATAAAAATATTTTAAAAAAGATTTAAAGTTTGTTAAAATTATTTTAATTGTTTATTAATAACGAATAAACTTGATGAATAAATTCAGTAAATACTTTGACGATGATTCAATGCATCGTTACAAGTAAATACGAACTAAGTATTGCATTCAAATATAGTTACATTCAAATGCGGTGGCGCCACAATAACATGTGGGTAGTGCGCATGTCGATACTTTTATGAAATTTAGGTCAAATCATCCATCAGTTGAGCAAGAGCGTTCATGCAGTTAGAAAGCTTTATTTTGTACTGCTCTAAAAAAATTCTAACCTATTAACTCGTCAGTTTGATGAAGAGTTTACCTATTCATTAGTGTATTTTGTGTGCGCGCGCACATGTGCGTGTGTGTATGTGTAGTGTAAGTGTGTATGTGTGTGTGCAAATAAAATCATCAATTCATTCATCGAATCATCATTGATCAAAGACTTCGATTATCATTACTTCAAAAACTGTATGGTTTAAGGTAATGAAACAATTAACAAGCACACGAAAATTGAATTTTTATTTTAAGCAATCTAAAAAAAATTTTGAAAAAATTTCAAAATAATTTTTAGACTATCAACTGAATTTTTTTGTTTTAAAATCAACACGTTAATATTATTCAACTATCTTAATAATAAAATAGCTCTTTACTTGAGTATGTTTAAAAAATTATTTTGAAAAAAAGCTGTAGTTTTATATTAAAGTCAAGAAATTTCAAATTATATTCAAGTTGTTTAGCATCTGATAAATATCGTTTTCGACTACAGAAGCATACTGTTTTCTAAAAACGGTCAACTTTAGCACATGTTCTTCACGCTGTTTTTGTTTGCTGACAATTCAAGTATAAATGTACTTCATAAAAATAGAGAAATTGATTTTGATGAATTTTTTTTCTCAGCTCCAAAATAAGTCGTAGTGAAGTTTTTTCGGAATTGTTAATTTTATATAATATGAATAGAAAATAATTTTCAAATTTCGTTAAATTAAAAAACGTGTCTTACCCGTAATTTTTAAATTCAATGAAAAGCTGTAATAGAAATAAAACTGTAAAACTGAGGAAACGACGAGTATTCCGCCACGAGGTCAATCATTGTTCGCCGCCAGTCAGCCACATTCAGTACTACATGTTTGTGATAGTGGCTACGGAGGATAGAGAATATACAAATTATGAAAGTTTGAAAGTGTCAAGCATGTATCCATGCAATTCGCATAATGAATTTTCATCGATCAGACAGCTAATTTTTGTACATTAATTTGAAACTCGTATTATATTATACAAGTAAGAGATTTTGAACGTTTACGTTTACTTATATCGATGCGATCAGCTATTGTGAAAATATTATTTAACATTTCCAAGCATAGACAATTATAGGTTCAAATTTACCAAGATAGCTGATAACTTTATTGTTAAAAAAAAATAATAATAATTAAAACGTTGGTTCAATCGAGACATTGAGAATTTTGCATTACTTACGCGTGATTAAAATATAAAACATCTTCGAATATACTGGACAAAAAGATAACTGACATAGCGCTGGGCCATTCATTCACAATAATTTTTATATTATGTGTGCCAAGCTTTTATTGTTATGCTTGAACGATAATGGCAATATGCACATGCGTGGGTCATATGACGGTAGATATATTTTAACAAAAGGAACTTAGTGGGGTATGTATCAGTACGCGTATGTTCTATTCTAGCTGGGATGATATAAATCATTCATGCGAGATTCAAAATAAATTGTAATCGACGTACACAAACACACGACATTATAGAGAAATATTAATTCATTCAAATTTGTTACAGCGGAAGCATGGATACAGTGGAATGGAACTGGGTGTCCTTTTGTCTGAAGTGACGAACGAAAAATCCTATCTTCTTCCACTTTCATTCCTTAACTCCTCCGAGAAAAATTCTGATTGCAGATGAACTATTTCTAATAAAAAGACGAGAAAGACAATTCAAAGAAGATTCTCGATTTATAATATTGGTTTGATTCAACGATGGATGCCAAGAAAATAAAAGATTCAAATGCAGATCTGTACCAACTTATACATGACCAATACCTTATTGATAAGTTTGCTCATCAGTTCTATGAAACGGTTGATTTATATAGTGATTTGAATAACAAGACGTTCGAACTATTTAATCACGTAGAAGAATGTTATAATCGTCTATCATCGAAGTACAAAAAAAATGAGAAAATTTTGTTCAATCAAATAGAGTATGCTCTGAATACGATGATTGGGAGTATTTATTCCACGCGTGACTTAGCAAATGATTCTCCTCAAAAAATTATTGCAGTTGATACGGCTTTTAGAGAACTATCTAAAAATTTACTAAATATCTTTAATAGTTACATTAACTATATTCTGAATCCATACACAATTCGCGACACTTTAGAATTATTAAACAGTATTAGACAGGGCCGTGAAAATCATTCGTTTGTGGAACAATCCAACAAAGAAATTGAAAATGAACGAATATCACAGATAAATTTGATCAAATATCAAGATCCTTCAGGTCAAATAATTTGTGAAAATAATAATGAAAGGCAAATTACTGCGCCACCCGACCCTTCATTTTTACCTGAAAGTTTACCGAAAAATGTGATTGTTAATCAAGTGCCAATGCAGACTGAATTATTGCCTGAAATTCGTCCAAAAAATCAATTTATCAGTGAACTAAAGTTAATTCCTGAATTAGCACATGAAAATTATCCAAAAAATGTACTCGTTAATGAAGTGCCAATGCAGACTGAACTATTGCCCATAAATAAAATAGAAATGCAAGATGAGCCATCATTGTCCGAAATTGTATACTTTGACTTGGAAACAAATAGTAATTCCTACGACACTGATATCCTTCAAATTTCGGCAAAAAGTAATAACCATGTATTTAATGTGTTCATTAATTCAAATATGGAAATCGATGAAAAATGCACAAAAAGAACGAGACTTCGCCATGTTGGGCCACTTTTTGAATTGTATCGTGGTGAAGTGAAATTAGATACTATGCCGATAAAAGATGCATTACAACACTTTTTCTTTTTTTTATCAGGAATCTGCACGAATGGTAATAAATGTTTATTAGTGGCTGATAATGATTCTGCTAATGTTTCACCATTATTGAGAGCAATACATAGCAACAACGTAGTTGACGAATTTGAACTTACTATAAGTGGATTTTCCGATGCTAATGAAATTTTTCGTCGAATGTTTCCAGAGAGAAATACTACTAAAAAAAGAATAAAATCTCTAGCCAATGATTACTTACCTTTCTTAAAACCACCCGCTTTTGATGATGCTGAATTCAACACTGATGTTCTGAAAAAGCTTGTTGACATATTTAATTGCAAAGATCATTTATTAAAAAATAGCCGGACATACTCTGATAAGTGTCGTGATTTTATAACGAGCCTCCAAAAAAATGTACGAAGTCCTGCAAAAATAATGTACCGAGATAATTTACGAGATTTATTGCAATTGAAAGATATTGTTTCTGATCCAATTAGAAAAAAAATGGCTGAATGTGGAATGAATGTTGATTATCTTGTAAATTATTTTGATATGTATGGGAGAGGAAGATTAGAAGAACTATTTTGTGAACCAAGGCATAATCCAAAAGTAACAAAGCGCAAAAATATTGTCAAAAATGTTTGCGACTTTATAGAAAAGGAAAGTACAAAGCGTTCGATTTATAAAAATATTTGTAAAAATCTACTATTGAGTTCATCATCTACATCTTTACTTTGAAGGGAATGCCAAAAAATTCAAATCTTTAGTATACCAGGTTTAAGTACGCGTTCGTGCGCTAATTTCTCTCCACACCGCCAAGAAGTACGACTTATATTTCGGAAAATGGCTCTTAAACGTGAACTTGGTACAAAGCTAAAAAATAGTATACGATACTAATGACTTTACTCGGAAAAGTGATTGGCTCATGAAAGATGAAGCTACGAGAACTAGAAAACACGATGCAGACTTACACCACAGGAGATCGTGTTGCTTAACCTTTTCTGAAGCTGCTTTACGAAAAGCGAAGCAAATCTCCACTGTGCTACGCAGTATCTACCAAATTTTCTAGCCATTGCAGCTTCCTACAAATGTCGCACGATCATGCACTCGAAACCGTTAAGCAGTCTTAGCAATTGACGAAGCTGCATGCTCTTTCGTATAGCAATATTTTTCTGTTTAATGTTTCATGAATCAATCACTTTTTCTTGTAATATGACCACTATTACACAATGGCAATGGAACCGTGTAATAATTATGATAATATATCATTATATTTTTATAAATTTTATTCTGTAAATACATGTCATTATTGTTTTAAAAATTTTAATTTAATCGTTGTTGTTACTTAGGTGGGTGTGCATGGAATTAATGTAATTCATTATTACATTAATATTTTGTATTTTTTATAGTAGTATTATATTTTTACCACAGTATGTAAATTTCTGTGTACAATAAAATAAAGTTTCTTTAATTAACCTTTTTTATTACTTTAAATTTTAAATAAACAATTGTAAGTATATTTGCCCTTTAATTGTATATTTATCCAACGGAAAACGAATAAATTCACTTGCAGTTACCACGAAAAACAATCCATTCAAACAACTAACACATTTTTAACTCCTATAATCCGCTTCCCTGATAAATTTTAGGATATTACTCAAACTCATTGGGTCGTAAGTATGGAAGTTATTGAAAATCTTAAAAGCAAAATTTAACACGACCTCCAAGTGATACGAAACTGCAATTGACAGCAAAAAGTGCGAATATGAATACTGCCGTAGCGTTACTATGTTCACTCTGTCACTGTACCTCTTGCTCTCTGTTCGGATGTGCGCACAGGTATAGACTGTTTAAAACGTAGATTAGTCCGAAACTTTGAAATGACTGTACAAATCTCGTTCACTCGCTTTGCTCCTTTTCTTAACATATATATTCTTATCTCTTTCGAGGTAAAGAGTAAACTAAACTTTTATGCTACGAATATATACGGGCCATCTTGTATCTTATAAGCTGTAATGTGGCGTAAAAATATTTTTTTAATCGAATTTAAAATTTTAGACCGATTTTTTTGCATACAAAGCCTAATAATTTGTGTCAATGCTGCATTACGACAAGATGAATCAGTCAAGGTCTATTGAAATAAAATTTGATAATATGTTTGGTAATAATTGACGTATAAATCGATCGACCCAAATGACGCGACGATAATGCAATCAAAGCAATTGATTTAAAATTGTTTCGTGTGCCAAAATTATCTTATCGGTAAAGTACTGCAACATTTATTCAAGGACAATTAAGCTAATTACTTAATTCCGCCGATATTGATTGAAGCTAATCGCCCATGAGGCATTTTTATCGATTGTAAATATCGACTTTGCTTTCTAAAAAATTTGATTTCTCTAAAAAATTGAACGATTAAAAATTTGTCGAAAAAACCGGTCTCATAATGACTGGCGAATCTCATAAAGAAAGTCTCAAATTCAAATTTTGCCGTGATAAAATAGATATACTTGAATTTTAAATGTTTATTGATACCTTTCTCTCTCTGACTGTCTGTGGTTTACGTCATGATTTGTTCATCGGGTTTTATCATATAAAGCGATTTATTAGAAGCGAAGATATCAGTTTGTAAGCGATACTTTGAGTTGACGCACTATAGCAATCAGTTCTCGTGACAATCATAAAATTAGACGTGATTTTTGTTCGGCCAGAAATAAACATATAACAGTTGAACGAATGGCGTGGACGAATCGGTTGTTTGTCGTAGTCGGTGTAATCCTCGTGGGCAGCGTCCACGGGGCCGAGCCTCAGCGCTGGAATTCCAATTCAATAGTGACGCCGAGTCTCGCTCCGATAATCGTATCCAACAACGCGTTCACCTATGCCGAGCTCAAGCCAGCCGACGAGAGCCATCACGATGCCAAATTGTACAGCAAAATCGTCGATTATTACGGGGGCGAGGAGGGCCAAGCCACCGCCGCCGCCACCGACTGCGACTACCTGGCCATGTTAACAGGTGACGAATTTCTCATCAATACGAATATCAAGCTGACGTCGAGCCCGAAATTTCACGTGATGACGTGGTTTGCTGCGAGCATGAGCCAACGCAACGTTTCGCTTCGGCTGGCCGTGATCGAGCGGCGTAGCCCGCAGTGCTCGTCGATTAGCTTGAGCGTGCCGTTCGAGGGCGATTTCGCGCATCGATTCGAGTCCTTCAACAGCTCCGTGGTGGCCCTGCACGACGACACCTTCGACGTCCTCGTGCCCTGCCAGCGAACTCAGCTCTGCAGAATCAGCTACGATCCAGTGAGCAAGAGCCTCGGCGAGTCGAGGCCTTTCCTCGAAGAAGCTCTTCAGTTCGACACCGACGACTGCCTACTGATCTCGCTGACCAGTCACGCTCGCTCGCACGGCTACTTTTTCATCGCTCGTCGTGGAAATGTTTACAACTTGGCTTACGTGAACGACGCCGAGATCGTTAGCAAAAACATCGAACTTCCGAAGGATGCCCTGCTAGCCACATCGACCGCCAACGGATTGTTGGGCCTCTGCTACGCCACCGACGAGTCCAATCGATTCTTCAGATGCCTGCAAGTGGATAAAAATTTGAACGGCCTCTCGGACGTGACGCTAAACTTCGACAACGCTTACGTGCGGAGCATCGCCATGGTGAACGATCGAAAGGCGGGATCGTCCAAGGTCGTCGCTCGGAGCGCCACCGCCGACTTCTACTCGATCGACGTAGACGCCAGTGACGTCGGTTCGGTTGAAAAAATCGAAGGCGTGGACTGCGAAAACGTTACGAACGTCGATTTACTGCAAAGCGACGATGGAATATTTTTGAGAAACTCTTGCAACGAGCCTAACCCAGTACTCGATGTTATTGTCAATGTTCTGCAAGTGAGACGCTTGTAAAATTGCATCGCTAACGCTGCAATTCACGCATGATCTGATGTATAAAGTGATTTTTCATAGATGTATTATATTTTTATAAAAATTTATATTGCTTATCTCTGCGACAAAGTGACGTTTTATACATGTATGAGAGACTCTGTCAATAAATTGATACTTTTATGTAATTAAACAATGATATCATGCGTATCAGTCTGTAATACACAATGCGCAAAGCTGCGCGCACAAGTTGCTGGCCGTGAGGCGCTCGACAAACCGGTTGGCTGTTAAAATTTTCCAAGCAGCAAAGCGAAGATTCTCCCTTTCTCCCTCTCGTCCTTTTAATACCTATTGGAAAAGTCGACTCTTGCTGGCGCTGCTCGTCTCTACATAGCCCCCTTCATTTATCGTTTTGCGCGAGCTGTATAAGCCGAGAAGACAAACGTGCTTTGCCCTGTACTTTTCCGAACTTGGATTATACGCTCGCGTGTAACGCGATAACCGCGCGCTACAGCTAGGGCATAACTTGTCGAAACGATCCGAGGCATCTTTCGAGCGTCTTGGCTTTAAGTGCGCGAGGCTGGCCGCGCACTGCCCAGAACAGGTTCTGATTTTTTAGCAGCTACAAGTTACGGCGCGTAATAACTACACGCGCTGGGGGGAGGCAGAGGAAATTTACAATGCGATTAATAACGCCGCTCAAAAAATCGAGTAGCTCTGTGCTCGCTCGACCGAGCCTCCTTAATGGCAAACCGGTTGAAATAGGCGCATCCGAGCTGCAGGGATTTTTACGCGACTGACCCAGTGGCTGGTATAAAAGCACGCGAGTCAAGTTCAAGATCACGAGACTCGCCTCACGTGCCGCATCGCCAACAACGTTGACGCCACATATACGTATCATATTATATACATACAGAGGTAGGTGGCTCACGTAGCTTTTAGAGCTGTCATCGTTGAATTTCGTTTGCAAAATTGTGCGCTTGCTTTTTTTCAGACAACCGCAGCCGCAGACGAAAGCGCGAACACGATGTTGAAAACAGTATCGGTGACTCTGCTGTTACTGCATGTCTGCCGATCGGCCGAACTACCCAAGGCTGCATCGGACAGCTACATGGGTCTGGAAAATTTTTCCCTCCTATCGAGCGATCGGCCGACCTTTCTGACTTTTCGCTTGAGCGAGGATCCGAAATACAAGCTCGAGGCTATCATCGAGAGATGGGCCGGCAGCGGCGACGGAAGCAAAAAAACTTGCTACGTACCGATGCTCGTCGAGCAAGAGAAATCCCGAATCGTGCAGCTCAACTCGATGCTCGACAGCCAGTGGGAGATTTTGCGAATGGTCAGAAGGTTTCAAGACCCGATGAAAAATCAGCTCGACATGTACATCGTGAACATGGCCGACTGCACGTGGAAGAGGTGGGAGATGCTCAAGGGCCTAGAGTATTCTAAGAACGGCATCTCGTACATCAACATTCGACCTGGGTAAGTGACAATCGATCGAGCTGATACGTAATAATTTTGCATAGAAAATCATTGACCAACTCGATTTCAGCCGCAAAGACTGGTTCGACATCATCTTCCTGAACGCGGAAAAGGAGTGCGGCGGCTCGTTCGCCTGCAAGCGCACCTACAACTTGCTCGAGGGCAAGCTCGGCGAGCCCATGAAGTTCATGCTCTGGAATCAACGCAAAGAGTGGGAGCTGTACTTCCCCGAATATCTCGATGCTAAGGACGAGATGTTCTTCGTCATGGGCAAGGACGAGAACGCCAAGACTCAACTGATCTCTACGAACGCCAGGGGCGAGCTCATCAAATCCATCAATGCCGACTTTTCGCCGGCCGACGTTTCGCTGACTAGCTTCCGATACACGAGGAACTCTGCAGCTGCCGGTGAGTAATTATTATTTTACGACGCATAAATCTCTGTATGCAAAAGAAATAATAGCCCCGGTTGAGAAACTAATTATCGGCGCTTGCTCAGGAAACTTTGGCCGATGCGGCATCTTCGAGAACGATCCGCAAAGAATCATGTGCACGCAGTGGGACAAGAATCTGGAGCTGCGCTTCTCCTCGAGCTTCCGACTGAATTACGAGCCCGACTGGTTCGAGATCCGCAACTGCCCGATGGGTGGCTTCGCACTCATGACGCTGCGCGGACGCGACTTCGAGCTCTACAAATTCGCCGGTGACAAGAAGGACGGCGGCGAGAAACTCATGTCCAGCTGGAGGGACGACAGTTGCGCGTTCAAGAAGCGACCGCGATTCATGTTCTTCGAGGAGATGGGCAAGAAATGCGCCTTCTGGACTTGTGATATGTTGAGAGAGGACAACAAGGGCTACGACTGGACCATGAAGAGCAAGTGCTTCGAGCTCTAGAGGACAGCTGCTCCGACTCGCTTCGTTTAATTAAGTTGCTATACTTTTGTAAGGAAATTTCTTCGATTCATTTATAGTTTCTCACTGCTCTGTCTAAAACTTTGTCATTGCAAATTTGTATAATTCATGTGCCAAGATTACGATTAAGCGACCAAGTATTTTGTATAAGCGTAAGAAAATATACATGACAGTACTATAATATACAGCAGCGTGTCAGTCCTTTGAAAATGTTGTCTCCCGACGTGTCGAGTCGAGGAAATATTGCATTACTCGAGATTATAAACAGCAAGGCGAACATCAAACGCAAAAGTTAATTGAAATGTTGGCGCGCGAGCCCGGCACAAAAGCGCGCGAGCTCTTTCTAGTTGCAAACTCGCCTACCTCCCTCTCCTGTAAGACCAATGCCCTTTTCGCACAATATATAAAAGCTCCTCGCCCAGTGAGAGAGTGCGAGAGAGCACATACAGCAGAGGGCTGAATTTAACGGGCATGATGCACGATAACGGAATTAACAGAGAGAGAGAGAGAAGTGCAGCCCTCTATGAATTTAAAACACTGCATGAGTCACTGCTACTGCTGCTCAGCTCGTACATGACGAGAGCTCGAGAATATCTCGCGCTTCAAGCCATAGCGTTGAAATTACAAAATCTTTTCGCACTCGTACGTTTGCGTGCACCAGCCTGTAAATATATCATTTGTACCAGACGCGAGCGACTCGTAATCAAAATCTTCCATCTCGACGTCTTTGAACAATCGGCAGCCGTCGTGTGGTCTGCAGCCTTTCGACTACAATTTCAGACGACGACAAAAAACAACAACAAAATGATAAAAAGGAAAAATTGATCATCGTGCGGGTATGCGCGTAAATGGCTGAAACTGATTATCAAACTTCAGCACATTCACGCTCGATCGAAAGTGCCGCGTAGAGGATTTTCTAAAGTTTATAATGTTTTGTATACATTCTACGGGTATAAGTGTTTTTGATGTGATAATAAGCGATTCTTTCTGCTGGCGTTGCGTTACGAGCTCTAATCTTATGCGTGCGAGTCAGCACGTGCTGAGAGTCATTCGTTCACAATTTCTCTTCTCTACGTCTTCTTTGTTATAATTTATTTTTTATTTCAATCTTGAAACATCTTCTTGCCAACTTTCATTGAAATGCCAATTAAGCATAATACATTATTGGCATCTAGATCAAGTAAAAAATCTATTTACTTATAAATTGTAAACGATCAAATATTTAAATTGTGTTCTATTTCGTATCACGAAATTGTAAATAGATAAGCCTAATAATTTTCAACAAAGAAAGAACTTAATGTTATCTCTCCACGTGTGGCGCCTCTTTTGGGCCATATTAATTCAATAGCAATGAGACTTACCACAGGTGCTCGATCTTGACAATCCCAATTTTAGTTAGTCTGAGAAAATTTTTTTTTAAATTTACATGTATTCTTGGACTTAAAGTCATTTTTTTCTAAATAAAAAATCGCAAAACTTAAAAATGTGGTTATCTACATTATCACGTATTCAGTCTTTGCAATTTCTATCTTCAAAAGATACGATTTTAAGGAAAAATACAAAGGAAGCAAAGTTTTCATAAAAAATTTTTCAAAGACTTTTTGAAGTTTTAAAATAACCTTTTCCACCACAGACACGGTAAAATATGACTAGAAAAAAGATTTTTTTTCCACGGCTTCTTCTAGTTTAGGTCCAAACAAATTTAAGCATGGGTGCGAGGTTCGTATGCAACATGTGAACCAAGAGTCGCACCTTAATATATAACATAGGAAAATGAAAAAGCCATTTCATTCTTCTCTCTGTTACCTATCAGCGTTGGATCAGGTTTTTAACTACGTTTTAGACGTTCAAGAGCACGCGAAAATTGGCGTGCAATTGAAATTGAGAGCAATCTAACGCATATCTATTCCTTTTTACCAGATAGACTAGTAGTGCATGGCTAGGCGCGTTGCATGTAAAAATGTCTATCGCAGGCAATTGCACAGGCTGACTGAAGCCAGTCTAATGTAACCACTGTATAAGAGCACATATACAGCACACAGCTAGCGCACGCGGAGCAAAGAGTGTTCTCGAATGCTTGACCGGTTTTTGCGGAAGCTATATAGATCGCCGTTACAGTTTCACGGCGCTGCTATTGCTCGAGCGCTGCATGTATTCCAGTACGCGGCTTTTCTCCACCTGCCACCACCCGATACTTAACGATGAAAATTTTCACTATATAGAAAATAAAAGTGCACGCGCGTTCAATAGCGTGCTTATGTAAATTTTATTAAAGTTAAAATACATATAACGAAGAATCGGTGATTATTTCATTGGCCCAGCCTTATTGTGAGAGCCGTTGGCTGCTACTTTACGTACGGCAGCGCGCAGCCATGCTGAGCACAATGGCCAAGAGACTTTATGTAATTTTAAATTATAAAAATTAATCGAAATTAGAATAAAACGTGCGCTAGCTAGTGAAGGCAAGCCCCACCGATGTTTTATCGCCATTCGGCGTCGAGCCTCGTGCATTTTCACTTTTTTTTCCTAAACGAAATTTCAATTTCGCATTCTTAATAACTGTGCAGAATAAATATTACGCGTAGTTTTGTACAACAAAGAGACGATTCGGTAGTTCTGTGGTTTCACCTTAGGTTATACATCTGATGCATCGGAAAATTCCCGATTCATCGAATTCGTGCTCGTAACACAATTGTTCACATACCTACATAGTCTAATAGAGCCAAGAAGATACATAATCGTGACTCATCCATGCGCGATAGTACGAAAGATGAAAGTGATTCGAATCGCGACGGTTCGTGTAATTCTGCGCGTTCCCTACATACATCCATGTTATTATTTGTTACACATTTTTATGACTGCTTTCTTGCATTTATGCTCGGCAGGTATTATACGCATAAAAACTCGGCACGTAATCGATGCACAGCAACGACAACAACAAAAACGTACGTATGAATATATATAATATAACATTTCGCTCTGGCGCATCCGATATGCATTATTGACATCGACTATGTATATTATATTGTATGCATAAGTTTGCGTGAACACGCGGCATGCTCCAGTTACGGCGACGCCTCGATGGCGGCATCAGCGATGAATGACACCAAAGACTCGTACTCGCTTACAACTTTACGCTTTCAGTGGAAAACTTTGAGGAGAGAGAGAGAGAGAGAGAGAGAGAGGAAGAGCGAAAGAGGCATATATAAATATTGCGCAACGAGTCCTTCGTGCGTGCACATCAATTTTTTCCTATCATCATTATATTATTGTTACGAGCATTACGAAGATGCGCGAGAGCTGCGAGCTTATGCATCGAAACATGCCGAAAACATATATGTACGCTAATTGCGCACTCGTGCCTCATTGCATCAGCTGATTTTCTTATACGGAGCCTGTAAACGCCTGAATTACATTCAATTATCTTATTTGCAAATTGGAGCTCGCGGCGCGAAGGGCCATAAGCAGATGAAAGAAGAAAAAACGACACGAATCGCTAACGGCAAATAGTGGCTATTAAAGTTGCGCAAAAATTTGGCAGCGCGGCAATCGTTATTATGTATGTGCAGCAGCCGTTCACACGTCCGAAATGAGATTCTCTGACGTAACGGACCTACATAAACGCATAATACATGTGCGCGCGAGAAAGCGATGCTCCGCTCAAACTCGAAAAAATCGACGTCTCGTGATTGCGTAAAAAATTGCATCTCGCTCTTTCTTTGCCTTTACATGGACGAGGCAAATCGATCGGAAAGCGCTCGGTGTCACCGGCGCGATTTTCACTGCGAGCAACGCAGCGCAGCGCAGCCAGCGTTATCTCGAGCGTGACCCAAGCGCCGCCCAAGATTATTGATGCACGCACATGCCATCGATTTTCTCCACATATCTGCGAGCAAAATAAAAAAAGAAAATACCTTTTGCGACGCAGCGAATCTCCCGGTGTACAAAACTGTATTGAAATCTTACTATTTGCCCGCGTGTAAAAATTCCGATACAGACGTGGCAAGGAGCTAACAACAAGCGGGTATGTAAACGCGCGCGTCGATTTTACGAGCGAGAGTGTGATTTCGAGTGCTGATATAAAAATGCAAGAACCGACTGGTGCTACTTAGAAAATGCAGAGAGGAAGAAAGAGAGAAAAAATAGATAGCCTCGAATGCGTCGCTTTGTAAATCTGTGCGCTGGAAATAAAATGTTATGATGTTAAGCTAATATGTGTATAAACGAGCGCGCGAACTTGTATGCATACACAGGAAATTATCATATCCGAATCGTTTTCCGCTTACGATTTTGTATGCCGAGAATATATAAATGGCTACACGTTGCCGAATTTTCAATCGCACTGCGCGTTAGAAAATTTTCACTTTTCGCGCTCGTATATATAATAACTTACGCGCACTCGGGCATTACCCAAGAGTTATTTGACTTTTTTTTTTCTCGCGTCAAGGTACGAGTAATTTATTAATCATAATGTGAAATATAATATGTTTCGATATAGAGTTTTTCCTTGCACTAATGGAATAAAAAATCAAGCCGTAGCTTCATTGTAGCAGGCTACTATCGGCCTAATAAGCCACGATATCGAGCCCATTTAAATTACCGTTATACACTTGATCCATCGAAAGGAGATAAAATCTGAAATTAACGACAGGTACTTGAGCAATTGCCAAGTTTGAGCTAACTCGATGGCGGTGATTGCTCCTGACCATCGCATGGAAAACCGATCGAGCAAGCTCTCCCGCTAATTTTTCATCCCGAGATAATTCGCTCGATGACAAATGAATTTTCCGCTCGGTCATGATTTAGATGAATAATCGATCCGAGTACATTATGTACAAAATGATGTGAAAAGTCTGAAACGAGACCGAGCGCACGGGTAGATTTCCGCAATGGATATTATATATACGTGCACGGAAGCTAATATAGGCAATGTCGAGGGGGGAGCTCTTATGGATTTTCATGCATTATATACCACACGCACACGCACATAGTCTGCGTATGCAACTAAACGTTTATAAGAGATGTGTGAGTGTGCGAGCGGTATACGTAAAAAGTCAGGCGGCAACACATACAAAGAGCTGCGAGACAGGTGAGAGGCTCGATACTGCAGCGAGTGCAGCTATGTTCGCACACACACAGACAAACACACATCGATGTATTTCACTTTCGTCCAATGCACATGGGCTAGAAGCCGTGGTAGAAGGGGAGAAAGCCTTCACCAGGAGGTCCCGACTACCGGAGTATAAAGGCGAGCAGCTGAGATCGGGGGAAAATCATATTACGGCCGCCGTTAGCCACGGCTGGAAAACAACAAACGACTCGCGATAGCAACTAGTGCAACTTTTTCTCCTCGTCTGGGATATACAACTGCCGTGGAGAGAAAAAGCCCAACAGCAACATGCGACCTTCGGTAAGTGTCTCTGCCGCGCCATGAAAATTCGTGAAAAATACCTAGTGCAGTACCAACTTTTTTCCATCCTTTTTTTGTACCTTTATGGTGTTGTTGTTGTTTTTGTTATTGTTGTTGTTGTTGTTGTTGTTGTTGTTGTTGTTGCAAAGTGCATTTCGAAAAAGCAAAAGTGCTCATGGTTCAGTGCATTGAAATACTATTTTTGTATTGGTGTATGTGCGACGGATCAACACGGCTTTTTTTAAATAGACGCAACTTTTTTTACTAAATGATTTTTATTACGCGGCTTTTTCCATGTTTATAAACAAACGGCTTTTATGGTCTATGTAATCGTTTCGAAGCATTCAAAGTTCGTTGCAAAATCTGTGTCCAAAAGAATAGGTTCTGCATTGAAATAACTCGTGCTCATTAAAGCTCGCCCAAACAGCTCGACGCTCGCTAACTATATTTTGCAAGCCTCGGACGGAGCTGCAGCAACGGCAACAACAATAACAACAGCAAAAAGATAATTAAAACAGTAGCAGCAACAGCAACAACGCGTTGGGTATAGGAGAAACGCGCGAAAAAGTGGAGGCGAACGGGCGCGAGGATGATGCTTTACTCGGTGAATAATCCACTAACATCGTTTCGCTTGCATCAAACTGGCCGCTCGCGCATCTTTTATTTCACTTATGGCTATAACCCACATGGGCATGAAGCGCGAGTCAGCCGCGTTTCTTCATTCCCACACATTCGATTTCATTAAGCGTAATTGCGTTATCTTTTTATAAAAAAAAACTGCTAAACAAAGACTTTTCGTGTTGTGCACTTGTGGCTAGGTATCGCACAGCATTATGATATTGCACTCTTGTAATCGCGTTACGCGCATCGTTAAATATATTTAAGATAGCATTTTAGCTGATTTTAATCAAGATATGCAAAATCGTTTTATAATTTCGTGCGTTTGCGCGAAAATTTCTCAACGCGACTATTTGTTTTCCGTTTATCATGGAATTTTGCCATTATCGTAGCAATTTGAATATTCAACGAAATTTCCCTCGCTCTCTTTTTCTCTGGTGCAGTTAGCAGTGCTGTTGCTGAGTCTCCTGGCACTGGGCCTCTGCGAAGAGGCAGCCAAGGAGGCAAACAGCGACAACGACAAGAACCACAAGGCCGAGGCCAAATCCGACAAAGCAGACGGCGACGAGCAAAGCGCCGAGGCCTCGGAAAAGAAGCAGGAGAAACGCGGCCTCTACAGCTTCGAGGGTGACTTCTCCGGTGGCTACGGCGAGCACCACGACTTCTCCGAGTACCACCATCACGAGCCGGAACATCATCATCATCATCATCACTACGAGCCCCAACACGAGCACTCGAAGATCAAGCAGATAACCATCGAGAAGACCGTCAAGGTGCCCTACGTCGTCGAGAAGAAAGTACCCGTGCCAGTGGAGAAGGAGGTACACGTGCCCGTGAAGGTCCACGTGCCCCAGCCCTACCCGGTCGAGAAGAAGGTGCCAGTCCCGTACAAAGTGCACGTCAAGGTGCCCTACCACGTACCAGCCCCGTACCCGGTCGAGAAGAAGGTCTACTACCCGGTCCACGTGCCGGTAGAGCGTCCAGTGCCGCACAAGGTCTACGTGGCCGCTCCTTACCCGGTCGAGAAGAAGGTCTACGTGGAGAAGAAGGTTCACGTGCCCCAGCCCTACCCGGTGGTCAAGCACGTGCCCTACCCGGTCAAGGTACCGGTCCACGTGCCGCAACCCTACCCGGTGGTCAAGCACGTGCCCTACCCGGTCAAGGTGCACGTCGACAAGCCCCGACCTGTACCCGTGGAGAAGCCCTACCCCGTGCCGGTCGAGAAGAAGGTGCCCGTCCACGTGGAGAAAGTAGTGCCGTACCCAGTGAAGGTGCACGTGCCGAAGCCCCGGCCGGTGCCCGTCGACAAGCCCGTGCCGTACCCCGTGAAGGTGCCGGTGCCCGCGCCCTACCCCGTCGAGAAGAAGGTCCACGTGCCCGTCGACAAGCCGGTGCCCTACGAGGTCAAGGTGCCCGTCGTGCGACACTACCCCGTGCACATCGAGAAGAAGGTGCCCGTCTACGTGAACAAGCCGGTGCCGTACCCGGTCAAGGTGCCCTACCCCGTTCCGATCCACCACGAGGAGCACCACCACCACCACGAGGAGCACCACGACCATCACGAGTACGAGCACCAGCATCACGGTGGCTACGGTGACTTCGGCGCCGAGGGCTCCGACGTTCACGAGCACTCCTATTGATCGAGCTGCGCGCGATAGTGTGATATTTTTCTTCTTTTTTTATATCTACGTATACACGCATGAATTTCGAGTGACGATTGTTTCCATACACACTCGTACGCACTGAGAAAGAACAACTTTTGACAAAAATTGCTTTTAATCGGCTTACGACGAATATAAGCTGTACGAGAGATCGCGTTTGGCCGACCGCAATTGCGACGCGAGCGAGGCATTATTATTTATCAATCAAAAAAGAAAAAAAAAGAAAAGGTACGTTGCGCCAATGTAATCGCACGCAGTTTGCCAGAGCATACAGACAAGCTGCGCGCACACATACACTTTTTTCTTAAATAACATGTATTTATTCAGCGCGAATAGCTTTTCCAACTAATGGAAATGCGAGCAAAAAAATCAAGCTCAACGCCGCATACTGTACACCATCTTGATCCATTTAAATATGTGCGCTGTACAATTGCCTGGATGTTAATGTAAATAATGAATTTTTTCCCCTTTCTCTCTCTCCTTCTCGCTACCTCATTTACATTTTTATCTTTTTTTTTGCTTAATGTAGGCGTTGTAAATATTTATTAATATTGCGCCACAACAATGTAATAATTCACCAACGAGAGATTTCTATGTAAAGTATAAGTGGCGCAGCCGATTATACGTCCTGCGCTGCTCGATTCGAATCACTAGTTCTGTAAATGATATACCTGAGAGTTTTTTCTCTGCGTTTTTCTACCATTATTTTTGTACTTTTATTGTACTAATTTTTATCACTCACTGTAACATGTGTAATATTGATGCGCATGCGACGATGTTCGATCAACTCAACATTTGTTTTTTTTTATACTTGAGATGCACCGATACGTGTTGTTTATGCAATGTGTACAACCGAGATGTGCTACTATTCTTATATTTTTGATAATAAAAAGCGCCAAAGATAAAAAAAAAATTACAAAATAATCAATGTCTTTATTATAAGCTCCAATTCATGGATTCCTATACCCTCATAGATTTTCGATTAGCAATATTATAGAGTGCAGCAGCTTATGTACATTTTGTTGTCTCGTACACAGCAGTTTGTCACGCTTGACTAAGAAAATTGAGATAATTTTCCCACTGGCAGCGGAAATCGGCGAGGGAAAGGCAACATGGAGAGAGTTTTGAATCAAACTAATATGATGCTTCATGAACTATAAAAAAATGGTGCTTGTTTGCACCATAAGAAAAAATCATTATTGGCAAATGTTATAGAGCAAGCTTTAGTAATTTTTGAATGCGAATCGCTGAAATTTCATTGATGTATTTTTAGTTGCAACTAGATTTTCGTGCCTTGATTCTAATTAAGTGATGCATAATCGTCATTGGTATATATTTCAAATGCTTTTTGTTTGGTAGGGCAAAACTCTCTCTTGGTACATGCACATAACTGGTATGTATACACAAATTTATACAGAATATCGTGTATGAGCTTGCATATATTAAATTGGAAAATATTCTCTCTCGCGTACGATACAGACGTGTATTTTTGATGGTATAATTAAAAGAAAAGGGACATGCTTTCGTTGCAAAAATTCTGTGTAAACGTCGACGCGCGGAAAAAAAAAAGCTAAATACATGATTTATTGCGCTCACTCATTAAAATTGAGTTTGTAGATGCTCGCGCACACGAGTAAAAAAGTATACAATATAACATGAGCAGCGGTAGCGGCAGAAGCAACAACAACACTTTGTCGTGACTTTTTTTTATTTTGCGCCTGGCGAGCGATTGTCCCTCGCGTTTATAAAGGGCACGCGGTGCCTATTTTTCTGCAACAAAACAGGTAAACATTTCATAGATCAGGGGGATAATTCCTTCATAGACGCGAAATATCAATAATGTATTTTTAATTGAGATTGATTATGACCCAGGCTGTGAGGATTTACATTTGTACAATGTAGCAGAGCAGAAGATGCGAGCGTATCCATACAGCATAAATTACATCGCACCAGCACATAATATATTTTTTCATCCAGAAGGTCCCGGAATTTTTGCCGTAATTATGCATATGTGTTTTCCTATTTCTTATGCAAGAGCGTATAAATAATCTTTTTTTTTTGGCTCTGGCGTAAACAGAAACACAACAAAAAAAGCGGACCAATTTCATCGAGTATACGAGTCTGGTGGGTAATTATGCTGGCGTTTGAGTCGATATCGAATTCGACAGATCATGAGTCGCTCGGTACAATCGAATGATCCAGCAGTCGATCATCGCTTGACACATCCTCACGTGGTGTAAGCACAGGACAGGCAAGAGCCGCGAGGGGCGCGGATCGAGTTAAAAATCGCTTAATTAGGAGCGACACGGCTAAATCGGAGTAATTCGCGCAAGAATTGACGTAAGCCTTCGTCACTGCGTCGTGCTCGGTCGCGGCAGCGCGACAGGAAGCTTAGGATGGATAAAATAAAGTTTGTACGCCATACATAATAGGCAGGCCAATTAAAGCTGCCGTAAGTATAATCTTTTGTCGCTTTGAGCTGTTTCTGCGGTGGTTGGTTGGCTGGCCGACTCCTCGGCGTGTAACGACGCTGCCGCAGGAAATTATCAAGAATTATGCGATCGCGCTAGCGCCAGCGCTATATGTGTATGTGTGTGTGTGCGCGCGCGCTCCTATCACGTAATAATGCTTGCGCCTCACTTTCACTCCAACTCTGCATGAGTTTTATGTGCGTTGTGTGCATGTGTGGGCTGTATTTACTCGTTGTTATGACCTAACACGCGTCACGGAGGCCTCGCCCCATACTCGCACACATATATGTGTACGGCTACTGCAGTAGCTTCAATTTTCCTTTCTGAATTTCGACTTGGAATTCAGTGATTAGATATTGAATAAGAAAAATAAAGCAGAGAGCTGCGACGGAATTTCTAAGGAGGTAGAATTAGGCGCTCGTCGGCGTTAGGTAGCTGTCTCAATAACGATTTTTACGCTGTTAATTTCGGTACGAAATATATGCACAAGGAAGTCAGCGGCGTAGGAAATGATAAACGATATATTGGAGCGAGCGAGGCGTTGGCTCGGCGTTGGCTCGGCGTTGGCTCGGCGAGCGAATGCGACATTGACCATGCAGCAGCCGAGCTATTTCGTTGGAGCAAGTCCACAAATCATCTCGTTTTCGAGAAAGTCCAAGAGAAGCCTATTGAGTAAGTCGCGCACTGATTTGCACTGCAGCCCCGCGCGTATACATAAATGGCGCGCTGCGTACTGCCCATGTAATAAGTGTTTAACGATAAAAACTTTCCAGGCTCGCTTTTATTAAAGACTAGACACGCCACACGTAATGTAGGCGTTCTCGAAGCTGCCTATATCTACCGCCGCGTATTTGTTCCGGGAGGCCGTGTTGCATCGACTGTAAACAGCGAGTGTAACCAGTTTTATGGTGTGGCACCGATTGGCCGACGCATCGAAAATTCTGCTCGAGTCGAGAGGAGAGAGACAAAATTAAACAACCGTAGGAAGTGGTTTTCTTATCGCGCATGCTGCACGGCAGCAGATAAAATGTAGATACAATTGAATCCGATGCTCGTGCTGATAATTTTTTGAATGCGTAACACGAGAGCGATTACGTTACCGGAACCAATACAGTTTTGAAAAATAATGTTGCTCCCAAGATTATCATTTCACATCGATAATTTAATATTTAGAAAAGTGCAGAAATACGCCCATAAAATAGAGCTCTATTTAAAAACCAGCTTAAGATTTAATAGAAATAAACACTAGAAGAATGAGTCATGATTTTGTCCAGTTTACAAGTGCTTAATCAAAACATCCAGCCGTAAAGGCACGATCGGGTGTGAGCAATTAATTAAGCGCACAGCTGTAAGCTAATTCCCGACGAGTGTCAAGTGCGGCAGCGCCTCAGAGTCCTGTTGGTCCGTTGCACTAATCACGCGTAGACGATATGCTTATAATTTTGATCCGCGCGCATTACACGTGTAACGTCGAACGAAAACCTACTTATGTAGCTACACGCGTTCGAGTAGCTCCTGACTTTTCCTTTCAGCTCGGCTGCCCACCAGCAATATATAATATATATACGCATACCGTACGCACATTTTGATTAATCTAGACTCGCTCAACTTTCGGCAGCTTTTCCGGTTCTTACGTGCCGCCACACGCATATAGACTACAACGTAGAGAGATCCAGAGAGTCGGAGTCGACATTTTTTCAAATGTATTTGGCACATAATGCGCGCGTTATCTAATAGACTGGACGGTTTTCCGCCGCAAGCGCGTGCGTGGGCTCGCTACATAATGAAACTTTCCGTCTTTTACATACGATCGGTAGCGGTGAGTTTTTGTCGTCTTTGCTCCAGCCGTCGAGATCCCGTTGTTTCGTAAATGGTCATCGTAGACTGTATTTCTTCCCGCTGATTTACCTTTGACTGTCGTGTATGTACGCGGAGTTCCGAAGTGCTGCCATACGGCTCTCGGCTCCTTAGCAAAACGGATCTCACGAGTCACGCAATGCGCGTTGCATGATTAATTAACGCAGCTCTCGGCGGCGCTTTCCCCGCGCGCCTTCCAAACTAACTGCAGCTCGTTTCGCGCAGGTGTTGCGCAATCGCGCCCGATCGAGCGAGCCTTCCAACGAATCGCGTCGTCGAGCACGAGAGCTACATCAGCTGTCCGACTATCGATTGGCAAGGTCGATCGCTGCGCACCTCCTTGTCAATGCATACGACGAATCGCGTTCGCATATTCGAAAATCCGCGAATGCGGCGCAGGAGCCGTCAAGGCCATTATCTCGGCGCGGCTACGTCCAAATCTCACCCAATGCGCGTAGATCGCATGAATGGACGTATACTCGATCGAACGAAGCTCGAACGACCGTTACGTACACGATAGGGAGGCACGTGCAAGGCGCGAGTTATACGCACACGCCGGCAGTGAAAGCTCGTCCATCGGTAAAAGTCATTCGCGAATTCTCGATTAGCCTGTAGCGCATAAAAGGACAAATTAGCCCCGTTTCGCAAGCT